AAGGTAGGGTTTTCACTCTGAAAGGTGATGGATGTCAACCGTGCAGCAGCAATACCCCTCCAGGGAGTGGAGCCCCTATTAGATGGGTTTGTGTTGAGGTTTGTGTTGCAGCCCTGATGCTGTCAATATTACAGATTCCCGGTGTTGGACAGCAGTGGCAGATACATCCCCCACTGGGATTTGATCAGCAGCACCCAAAACCACCCACAAAACCATCAGCAGAGGCCCACTGGGCACATCTCCAGGGACTTCTGAGTCATTCAGTGTGCCCAAGGGGTGGAGAACGCAGGGGATGGACACAAAGTCCTCCAGAGCAGCTCTGGTCTGAGATGCTCTCAAGATCTGGCAACAAAATCATCCCTGAGGACTGCACCCACGCTGTGTGCAAGCAGAGGAGGGTGGTGAAGCAAAGCTGTCCTGCTCTGCAGACTGCCTGCCTTCCTGCAGCACCCACAGAGGCATCAGCACCTCTGAAAACACTGGTCCAGTTGGCAGCCTATGCGAGGACCCAAAGTTCCACCAGTTTCCTCTGCAACACGGAATCACTGGATTTGCTGTCCTGGGTTCAGGTACACCAGTCCCACTCTCCCCCATGCAGAGATGTGGGGGTTCAGCTCTGCTCTAAGGCCCTCACTCACAAGCACCAACCTGCTTTGAAATGGTCATTTCAACCTGCTCAAGTCCTGCATCACAAAGTGAATCGAACTGAATGAACACATCACCAACCCAGCCAGTCCATCCAGCACCTCCACAGCAGGTTCCTGCAGTCAGGAACGATTGCTGATGGAATCCTCACGGGTTGCATCCGGACCAGCCTGCAGCCCATTTGTCTTCCCTTTGCTTGGAAGGGAAAGCTGCCAAGAACAACACGAGACGCTGCGTGGGCACGACCAGACCAAAGCTGTGGAGAGGCACAGCCTCCTGCTGCTGCCTCTCCAACCGCTCAACAAGATTTACAGCTCATCACATCTCTCATCTGCTCTCCAGCCCGAAGTCTCATCCTGATGGCTCCGCCTGGACCTCGAGGACTTGTCCTCAGCTGGGAGTGCTGTGACCACAGTGCTGATGATTTATTCATCGCTGCGCTTCAGGAGGTGATCCTGTGTTTGAGTTTGCAGCCATCACCGTGTCTGTGAAACCCTGGATTTTACAGCACGAGGGTGATAAAACACAAGAAATCAGAGAGAAAGGATCCAGATCATCGCAAATGAGCCAGGCACCTGCAAAGGGGGAAGTCAGTGGGGCCACTCGGAGCTCTGAGACCCTGCAGGATGGTCCTTTGCACACTGGGCTCCTCCAGAGGTTCCCCACTCAGAGCCACACTCTAAAGGAGGGGGGGAAACCTAAGCTGTGTTAGTCCAACCTGTGCTGCAGCCTCTTCACACACAGCACTGAGGGTATACAAGGCTGCTCAGGAACCGGCCATCCTGATGATACCTAAGAGAAACCACACCATTCACTTCTTCTGAGGTGTCAACCTTTCCCTCATGCCCTGAGGTATAAGCACAACTACGAGCAGCTCTGCTGCAATAACAAGCCAGGCTGAAAGCAGACAGCATGTCCTGGGAGGGAAAAAAGCAGATGGAGAGGCTGACCCCAGGGTGTCACATTGAAAACCAAACCCAGCCCCTTCCTAAAGCAGCTGAGCAGGTATTAAATTGCCTTTTATTATTGAGATGAGCTACAGTTGTTTGCATAAGAATAGCACCAGTGGGTTAATAAATGCTCCTGTCTGCTCCAGCACATGGAAATCATCAGATATCTTTAGTTTTCAGGCCCCTTGCAGCAAGAGGAGACCCCACTTGTGTGGCAGCAACAGTCACAGGGTCCCCAATCACCCAGGGACGTGCCCCGAACCCATATGGAAACCAAACCCCCAGCAGCCACCAAGCCGAGGTCTGGTGCTCACAGGGGGCCGAGGGCTCAGTAACCCCAGAAGGGTGCAAGTTCCACACTCCCCAGCTCTATTTTTAGCCTTGCAGCCAGGGAAGATCCCTGTTGCCAGGCTTCCCGTGTTATGGATCCGGAATGGGCAGCACATCCCACGCCAGGGACCTGTCAAGCAGCTCAGCAGCCCCGTCGCTGTGACTGACAAGGTTTCAAGTCCGTCACGGCAGCTGAGGCAGTCACACAGGAACGCTTCCATGCTTCCCCTCTTCCTCCTCTTCTCCTAAGCTTCCCACCCTCCTCCGGCACTTGCCTGCAGCTGGGAGGCATTCCCCATGTTCTGTGTCACCCCAAAGCGGGGTCTGTGTCACCCTGGAACGGGGCAGGCTTCCACTCCTAAGCCATTCTTCCCAACTCCCAAAGCAAACCTTACACGAGCATTCACTCCAAGAGCAGGAGAATCCCAGCACACGTCCATGGGGGTTTTCACCCAGTGACAGGTCTGAGCTGTTCATCCAGTTTCCCAAAGTCCTGCTAGGGATTTATTAGCTGAGGAGCTGATCGAAGAGGGAGCAGCATCTGTAAATGTTCATGTCACCAAATGATACATTCCCTTAATAAAGAGCATGAATATTCCTGTCCTCACCAGCACTGCTAACGGCTGGGAACAATCAAACCTTGCTATTGCCACGACAGGGATGATTTATCTGGACATTTAAAGCCTCCACAGTTCCTTCAGGCCCTTCACCTCAGGTGTGTAGCTGGAGTTAGCCATTTGTTCACAACATTAAAAGCTTCACTAAGAGGCTTCTGCTTCTAGAAAGGCACATCACAAAACAAAGTGGGGTTTACAGCCTCTCCATGTCAGTCTGCTCCGACTGGAACAGACAAGGGAAGGGGTCAGACCCCTTGGCTCAGACCCTGAGTTACCAGGGACATAAAGAAGCCCTACAGGGTTTCTGTCCCCCACATGAGCCCGCTGTGGCTTTAAGAAGTGCCCTGGGCATCCTAAGGGCACTCGAGGTGCGCTTAGGAGCAGATGCCAGTCTCCACAAGTTTATCCTTTGGCCATTTTGGGGTGGTAGGAGTCAGGGCAGGGGCTGACCCATGGCACAGCCACCCCTTGGCTGGCTCAGCCGGGACCAGCTCTTATTTCCCTAACTCCTAAGAAATGTAGAGATCGAACCACATCTTTTCCTCCTGCCCCATCCAGTGGTTCAGACTGGAAGAGCACTTTGCACTTGGGAAGCATTCAGGCATCTGCCGCAGAAAACATATGGACTCAGAGATCAATATGATCAGACCAAAGCCGTTTATTGCAAAGCCTTAACTCCTTATATACTATTGCTTACATGCACTTACAGTGATTTGGCATATTATGATTGGATCCATGTCTTGAAGACCCCTAGTGACTAACATATAATTGGTTAAGCACAGGTGTGAGAACCTGACCTCGAAAGCTTGCCAACAGTCCACAGTTCTCATAACTCAGTGAATTCCAGCTTCTTATCTTGCTTGCTTCAGCTTCCTCGGGGTATCTTTTGGGATTATTCAGAGTTCATGTACCAATTATCCATTCTCCTGTGAGAACACTGTCTCCACAGACATCCAACTGCAGCAGCATCGCAGTACCTAAATCCATCATGAAGGAATAGGGCAGCAGCTGCTTCACCCCCCCTCAGGGGAATAGCACTGGGAATGCTGGCCTGGTAGGGCTGGAAAAGCTTCTCTACTGGCTGGTGGCACTGGAGAAGAAGCTGTTCTTCCCAACAACTATAGGGTCATGATCATAGAGGCACTGAATAATACCGGGTGGAAGGGACCTTCAGAGATCATCTCCCTTCCATGCAGCCATGGCTCAGGCCGGACCCACTCCCCATGCTAACGCAAGGAGCGTGTCCCCTCTGCCTGCAGCCGGGCACTGTGCTGGCATCATGGAATCAATGAGGATGGAAAAGAGCTTTAAGACCCCAGTCCAACCGTTCCCCAGCACTGCCACGGCCAGCACTGACCCATGGCACTGAGGGTGTGTGAGCAGGGACGGTGACTGCAGCCCTGCCCTGGGCAGCCTGTTCCAATGCCTGAGCACCCTCTGGGGAAGGAATTGCTCCTCAGCTCCATCTAAACCTGCCCTGGGGCAGCTTGAGGCCGTTTCCTCTTGTCCCGTCCCTTGGTCCTTGGGAGCAGAGCCCAGCCCCTCTTGGCTCCATCCTCCTGTCAGATCAGGCACAGCTCTGCTGGGACAAGGAAGCCTGAGGAGCAACAGCTTCCCCCCAGCAAACCTTTCCTGCAGGGAACCCAAAGCAATGCAGACAATACCTCACCTGCTGAGCAAGGGAGACGTGAAAAGCTGATGTGAAAGGGGGGAACTTCTGATCCTCGTGGGGTCCTGCACACAAACGCACGCTGCCTTGGTCAAGCCAAGGGATGAGGTTTAGGAAGCTTTGCTGGCTCCTCCGCAGTCACTGCAGCAAGGCAGGAGCTGCTCCCGCTGCCACTGAGCGCCAGGGCCAGGCGGGGAGGGAGGATGCAATGGGGGGCAGGATGGAGGCTCCATCACACCCCACACACCGCCAGGCTGCCCAGGTGCGGGAATACCCCGCTGGTGCACCCAGAAACACGCAGAGCTCAGGGGAGAGGGCTCCGGGGCACACTGAGGGTGTGCAGGACACCGGTAGAGGCTCGCACCCCGCTTCCCTGCACCGGGGACCCTGACAGGAGCCGGAGCACGGAACCGGAGCACGGAACCGGAGCACGGAACCGGAGCCGGGGCACGGAACCGGAACCGGGGCACGGAACCGGAGCACGGAACCGGAGCACGGAACCGGAGCACGGAACCGGAGCACGGAACCGGAGCACGGAACCGGAGGCGCCCCCTCCCGTAGGCCCAGGCCCCGCCGCGGCCGTTACGCCCGGCGCCCTGCGCGCGCACGGATTCAAACCCGGCGGGGCGGGGCGAAGCGCGACGCGTTCCGATTGGCAGACGGGCAGGCTGGCCACACGCTGATTGGCTCGTATGGGGAGGAATGGGCGGGGATACCGGTGGCTAGCCCCTCCCTTTCCCGGGCCTGAGGCGAGGCGGCGCGGCGCGGGCTGTCGGTGCCCCGGGGACAGGATGAGCACCGCGGCCCTGCGGTCCTTCGGCAGCTCCGGCACCCCGGTGCTGGCCGAGTGCCCTCGGAACGATGACGAACGGGAGAGGCGGCAGCGCCGGCGCTCCAAAGCCACCGACCTCCACCTCAGCAGCACTGACTCGCCGCGGGGCCTCGCCTCACCCAGGTACGGGCCCGGTGCGAGGGGCTGTGGGGGGGGGGTACGTGGAGGAGGAGGAGGAGGAGGAGGGTCCCTGACAGCCGTGTCTCCCGCAGGCAGGCGCAGGCAGGCCCGCAGTGGAGCCACAGTCAGATCGCGGATCACTACAGCACCTGCATCAAGCTCTCCACCGAGAACGTGAGTCGGGGCTCCCGGTCCAGCCCCTCTCGCACCACCGCTGACAGCGGTCATGAGGCCGCTTGGGAGGGGGGGGTTAAACTCCTTGAGCCTTGGCTACGTGGTTATTCTCCATCCTAGCCCTCAGAGCCACGTCCCTGAGCCAAACCGCAGGCTGCTGCTGCTGCCTCCCCAGCAGTAACCAAGCAGGACGTGGAAATGATCAGATCCTGCTGTAAATACCCCATGGGGTGAGGGACCAGACTCTTTTGATGCATCATTTGCCAGGGGATCAGTTCCGAGCTGTGCTTTGTTTCAGAAAATCAACACGAAGAATGTCTTCGGCTTACACCTGATAGACTACATGACAGAGATCCTGAAACAGAAGGACTCTGAAAGGACCAACTTCAAGGTGAGAGGAATCACTGCCTGGTCGTGGAGGTGCTTTATTTGCAACTGGCATTTAGCATAAGGTTTAGACAATAACAAACCTCAAATAATGCCAAGGTAACTGAGCTGGGGACTAAATATACCTTTTAGACACAGCAGAAACTTATAGTGTGGAATCCTTTTGTACCACAGAAATGAAAGGCTTTCGGTGATGGTCCTTCAAAAGGAGAGCTTATTTAAAAGAAAGGCTTGTGAAGCTTCTGAGTTAAACAGTGGGTGATAACAAGGAGCAGCAAAACAAGGCTGGAAAAGAAAGGAAGACAGTGTGGTTAATTCCCAGTATAATTTTGATCCAGGATGGATCAGAATAAGAATTTTTCTGGGACAGAGGCTTTCTCACTGTAATAGTTGACTGATGCTGGGGGGAAACTGGATTCTTGGGTGAATGAACAAATGGCAGTGGCCTTGAGGAACCCCTGAGCTAGCTCTGTTGTTGATGAAACTGAGGAAGGGATGGCAAAGAGTGCACAGGTTTTTGCTTGTACTACAGAGCATCCAGAAGTTCAGGTCTGCAGAGTCACATCTAGAGGAGACTTTTTGCTCCATAACTGTAACCCAGCTCTTTGTACCTCCCGTCAGGTAGCAGCGGGCACGATAGATGCCAGTGGCAAGATTTACTCCGTGCGTGTGGATACGATTCATGTGGATGTGTACAAAGTGCTTGGAGGCTTGAACAAGGACACAGCACCCAAAAACTCTGTAGACAGCCCAGGAGAAGGTGTGCCTTGCACTCGTTTCTGTTTAGCTGTTTCTGTTCCACCTGCACAGAGGGGAAATGGTGGTGTACTTCCATAGCACATGTGAATTTGGAAACACTTTGTACATCCCTTGAGTAGGGAGGGTTGAGGTGAGACCCTGAATTTGTCACTCAATCCTGTATTCAGCTATTGGGCCCATCAGATCTGAATGTAAACCAAAAGTGGCCTAACCTTTGTAAGAAAGAACTGCCTCCCTCTTTGCTTTGAAACAAAACCCATGCTGTGAAGATAAAATAGTCCATAAAAAGAAACACAGCATCCAACCAATGAATCATACAATGGTTTGAGTTGGAAAGGACCTTAAGATCATCCAGTTCCAACCCCCTGTCATGGGCAGGGACACCTCACACTAGACCATGTCACCCAAGGCTCTGTCCAACCTGGCCTTGAACACTGCCAGGGATGGAGCATTCACAACTTCTCTGGGCACCTGTGCCAGTGCCTCACCACCTTTACAGTAAAGAACTTCTTCCTCATATCTAACCTGAACTTCCCCTGTTTAAGTTGAAACATGGATGGATTCTGCTGGTAGCTACCAGGTGACTTCATGCCCATTGGGTTTTGCGTGTTTGTCTTGCGAACTGAAGTAAAAGCTGTGCTATCCCTCCATAGGGTATTTTAGTGAGTTTTCTGAGTGTAGCTTGTTCTTCTTTTCGTTTTAGAAGACAGTCAAGCTCCTGAGGTTGTCAAGAGAGTTCAGGCAAAGAAAAAGCACTCGTTCAAAACCATCGAGACGAACCTGAGCAACATCAACGTGTCGGAGGCTAGTCGCAGATGTGAGGTGGGTGGAGGGAGGCTGCTGCAGCAGCCGTGTTCTGGGGAGGAAAGGAGATGTCACCTCATCTTTCTCATTTCTTAGCATACATTCCTCTCTTGGGCTGTAACACTCACGTGTATATCTGTGAATCCTGCTATTAGAGCAAGGGTGGGTCTGGTCATGGGTGTTCCTCCTGTGTGAGGAAACTGGGGGAGCTCTCCCCTTGCTGAAAAACATGGGATCATAGAATCAACCAGGTTGGAAAAGAGCTTTAAGCTCATCAAGTCCAATGGTTCCCCAGCACTGCCAAGGCCACCACTAACCCATGGCACTGAGGCCTCGTCTCCACGGTGTGTGAGCACTTGCAGGGACGGTGACTCCAGCCCTGCCCTGGGCAGCCTGTTCCAATGCCTGAGCACCCTTTGGGGAAGGAATTGTTCCTCAGCTCCATCTAAACCACCCCTGGTGCAGCTTGAGGCTGTTTCCTCTTGCCCCATCCCTTGTTCCCTGGGACCAGAGCCCAGCCCCTGACATGCATGGGTCATTCTCCCTTCAGCTCTGTGTTTCAAAGTCTCCTTGTCCTGGGTTCAGCTGTAGCAGTCATTTTTTCTCCTTCTTAGCAGCTGATGCAGTGCTGTGTTTTTGACTTTAAGCCTGAGAACAGCATTGATAACACAGTGATGGTTTTAGTTGTTGCTAAGTAGTGCTTACTCCGATCAAGGACTTCTCAGTCTCATGCTCTGGCAGTGAGGAGGGGCATGGGAAGCTGGGAGGAAGCAGAGACAGGACACCTGACCCAAAGTAGCCGAAGAGGTATTCCATACCACAGCATGTCATGCCCAGTATAGAAACTGGAGGGAGTCACCCAGGAGGCCCACATTGCTGCTTGGGTCAGGCTGGGTATCGGTCAGCAGGTGGTGAGCGGTTGTATTCTCTCCCCTTGTTATTCCCCTTATCATTATTACTATTGGTGGTAGCAGTAGTGGTTTGTGATATACCTTAGTTACTGGACTGTTCTTATCTCAGCCCATGGGATTTACATTCTTCCCATTCTCCTCCCCATCCCTCTGGGAGCCAGGAGGAAGAAGAGGAGGAAGCGAGCGGCTGCGTGGTTCTGAGTTACCGGCTGGGCTTAAACCATGACACCCCTGCAAAAACGTGCTTCACCCCTTCCATCTTCTCCGTTCCCTGATTCTCTGCTTCATTCCATACCTGTAGATTGATCCCATGTTCCAGAAAACAGCAGCATCATTCGATGAGTGCAGCACAGCTGGAGTTTTCCTCACTGCGCTGCGTACCCAGGACTGCCACTGTGAGCTGCTCTTCGACTCGGAGATCATCCCTCTTCCTTCCTCAGAGACCCTCACACTGCCAAACACCAACCCTGTGAAAGTGATGGATTTAAAGCGTGAGTGCTGGTAACCACTAAGAAAAGGGGCCCATCAAGACCTTTATATCCCTTTTATCTCCCAAGTGTGCTCATTCTACTCTCAGCCAGCTTGACTCATGCTTTTGTTCACTGCTTGGCCACTCTATGGCACCACTGCTAGTGAAACTGCTGGCTAACAGGACTTTTGTAGATGTTAGATCACTACAGATCTAAAGCAGATCTGTCATGTAGCACGTATAGGTGGCCTAAGCTGTGCTGCAGTTGAGATTAGTGTATTCCAGGCTAAGGACTTAACTTGTGGAATCCTATAATGGTTTGTGTTGGAAGGGACCTTAAAGCTCATCCAGCTCCAACCCCTGCCACGGGCAGGGACCCCTTCCGCTAGAGCAGCTTGCTCCAAACCCCTGTGTCCAACCTGGCCTTGAGCACTGCCAGGGATGGGGCAGCCACAGCTTCTCTGGGCACCCTGTGCCAGCGCCTCAGCACCCTCACAGGGAAGAGCTTCTGCCTAAGAGCTCATCTCAGTCTCCCCTCTGGCAGGTTAAAGCCATTCCCCTTGGCCTGTCCCTTCAGGCCCTTGTCCCAAGCCCCTCTCCAGGTTTCCTGCAGCCCCTTCAGGCACTGGAGCTGCTCTCAGGTCTCCCCTTCAGGAGCCTTCTCTTCTCCAGGCTGCCCCAGCCCAGCTCTCTCAGCCTGGCTCCAGAGCAGAGCTGCTCCAGCCCTCCCAGCAGCTCCATGGCCTCCTCTGGCCTCACTCGAACAGCTCCACGTCCCTTTTGGGCTGTTGCCCCAGAGCTGAACGCAGAACTGCGGGGGGGGGGGGGGGGGTCTCACCAGGGCAGAGGGAGAATCTCCTCCCTGACCTGCTGCCCACAGTGTTTGAGCCTGTACATAACCACCAAACCCCACTGCTCTGATAAGATTCCCGGTGCTATGCCCACCCTGGAGTTAGGGTAGCAGTTGAACTCTCTGCTGAGAAATGAGCCAGCTGCTTTTGCTGTGAGCCCTGCACTGCCCTACGTGCAGGAAGAGCTGCCTACATGTGTGGTTTTAAGAATGATTGGGTGCCTGGTGCTTTTAGCTGTTGGTTTCTTCATCCTGTGTTGATCTCTTGCCCTTGCTCTCCTTGTCTCTAGCCCTTCTAGCACAGTGCACTGAAAAACGCCCCATCTGCTCTTCACTGGCTGGTTTCCAGTTTACAAAGTGGGATGCTGAATCCAACGATGAGGTATGTTTGTTAGCTCTGCACTGGGTGGGATACCTGAGTTGTATCCACGGTCACCTCCAAAGTGATCACTGAGTTACATGGAGCAGTGGGGTGTTGTGCTGCAGGACCACTGCTAGCCTGTGTTTTCCTGAGCACCTTCTTCTCCTGCAGTCAGTGTCAGCCCTGTTGGATAAATTCAAGAAGAGTGACCAAGTGTTTGATATCAACGCAGAGGTAGACAGTGATGTGGAAGACTGTGCTCCCATCCTGCCAGGTGATGACTTCAATTCTGACTCCCCCAGGAACACACCAATAGACAAGATTGGGGAATTCAGAGAAAACGTCAACTCCTTTGGAACAGTCTCCCAGAGGACCGGGTAAGTAGTCACTGAGAATCTATGGCTTTGCTTTGAGAGGGCATGACAACTGCTGGCATCTCTCTGGGGATCTTTTATTCCCATGTACACGTTTCCCATCTGGCTGTAGCTGTTTTCTGTGCAAGCTTTGGGTACATCCAGGAATACGTTACAGTAATATCTCTGCTCTCTAAGAGGACCTTTTTGTGGGGTCACGTTTGACTGCTTGTGTGCTCCCTCTGCTCCCCAGTTTCCAGCCTGCCCTTTGGCAAATCCACCTCTGTTTCTGCAGCAGCCTCACGAGCTCCATAGTTTAGAGTTCCACACAGAGGGAGCAAGCAATATCCTTACAGAGCTGATGTGGATATTGACTGCACACCCAGGCCCTATGTGCGCCAAAGGAATGATTTCACTCAGCAGCATGTGTGCTCTTCCCAGAACTGACACAGCCTCTTTTGGAACGGGAGACGTCGGGACCATGTGCCATTATGTTTCCATGAAACCAGGGGAATATTCCTACTTCAGTCCCCGGACTCTGTCGATGTGGGCTGGCCCAGAGCACTGGCGCTTCAAACCTCGGCACAAGCGTATGTATGTAGAGACAGCAGCTCATGTGCTGCCAGGTCCTGCTTCCCTTTAGGCAGCATCTGACTCATAAAGCAGGGACAGTGGAGAAGGGGACAAGCCTGCCTGGCTCTTTTCTAGCCAGCTGGGAAGCAGGACTGAGTTCAGACACCACGAAGGCTCTCAGCCACATGCCGATCCTTCTAAAGTGTTCTCTAGTGTTTGGGTGATGATGCTCGAAGTTGAGAGGGTGTCTCACCGCAGCAACAGGAGGTAGTGGTACTAATACAGCTCCTGCTGTTATTTCCCACCTCCTGCATAAAGTCTGAAGATTAAGTTACACTTTCTGCTTCTATAAAAAGATACTGATCCCTTGAAAACGTGAAGCTGAGAACACACTTGTTGCTTTCCCACAACAAAGAGGAAAGGTGACCTTTCCGTGTGGAGCAGATGCTCAAGTTAGGAGTGAGCTTGTGGTTCTTACTCTGTCACAAAGCACTGACAGTTTGCTTCCTTTCTGCTGCAGTGGCTGAGTCTGAAAAAGCGACCAGGAAAAGGAATGCAAAGAAAGCGTTTGAAATAGACTTTGATGAAGACATTGACTTTGAGGTGCATTTCCGTAAGACCAAGGCACGTGCTGAGTTTTTGCCTCTTTCTGCTCTCTCTTTTATCATGTCAGTGTGGCTGGCAACTGTCAGCTGCAAATGGCCCCTGTGAAACTGGCTCTGTAAGTCTTCTGACTCCAGGTCACCTTACAAGCTGAGGGGTTTACCCACCTTACGGTGGAGAATCAGGCTTAATTTCTCCTGGCTTAAATCCCAACCATTAAAAAGACCCTATGGATCCAGCTCCGTGTCCCAGTGTGCTGCACAGAAACCATTAGGTGCACCACCTAGACCAGTGTGAACTCCTCCTTGCACATGTCTTAGAACTTGCCCCCTTTCAGGCTGAGATATGAATTATTTAGCTTAAATAAGCAAGTTTTGAATACAATGAGTCAGAGTTAGACATTGTGTGGTTTAGTCTGCTTCTTCCCTAACACAGACAAAGACCTGTGTTCAAAGCACTTACTGTGTGTTTGTGAGTAGTGGATAGCTCATGGGCAATGGCATTTATTATCCCCCCCAGGCAGCTGTAACTCTAGCCAAATCCATTCTGGAAAGCCAGAACGTGAAGAGCACCACGCTTCCCACAGACTTCCACTATGACCCTAACACCATTCTCCAGCTGTACCTCAAACCAGCTTTTAAGGTAAGAGACTTCTCTAAAAGCCTGTTTGCAATGATTCCATGCACAAAACCACTCTCCACCAAATGCTTGAAGTGCTTTGGGATGCTCCTCAGGGCTGGAGAAGAGCCACCCTGTCTCTCACTGAACTGACACACACTTATGGATGCTGGAGTGGCTCTGCTTAGCTGGGGGCTTGCTATAGAGGGCTGGTTTGCAAGGAGGAGGAAGAGCCAACAGGCTGGGAAAAGGGGAGGTGGTGAAGAAAGAAGGTGCAGGTATTGCTTGGGCAATATTTGGAGTTTTTCGTTTGCTGACCCCTGCTCTTGTCCTGGAAGTTCTGCAGGATGCCTCAGCCAGAAAGTTCCTTGGATCATGAAGATGTCGTCGGCGAGTACGACTACAACAACCCCAATGACACCTCCAACTTCTGCCCTGCAGTGCAGGTAACTGGAACAAGAAGCTTTCTTCCTGATGCCTATATTTGATGTGTGATGGGAAGAAGCTGTATCCAGAATTAATTCCTAGTGAAAAAGAATTGGAGTTGTAGGGATCTCTGTGCACACCCATGTTCCCTCACCAACAACATGAACTAAACTCTCTGGCCTTGGTGTTTGCCAGTCAGTTTGCTTTAGAAACTCCATTCCAGTGCCCTAAAGCAGGAGCAAATGCCATTGATCACCTCCAGAGTCATCTTTACACAGTGAGGTTTGCTCCCAACTGTTCTGAGCTACCATTGAAAGAGATTTCTTCTCAAGCTTCAGCTTTTGGCCAGGCCAGTGCTGCCTCCTGAGTGCATTTGTGACAAGTCCCAGCTGGTCCCACAGTTGCAGGAAAACCCCTTCATCTCTGTTGTCTTTCCTTGGAGAACAGTCCTTTGGTATTCTGCACACTAGATCTCCCTTGTGTTTGGCCTTAGCCCAGCCTAAGTTCTGTGGGGAGAAGCTGAGTAATAACATTTTCCATGGGGAAGGTGGGCAGGTATCACCACCAACCTGAGAGGGTGGTGTTGTCTCAGTGCAGGACACTTCTGGCTCCTCAGAGATGTCTCTTTGTGGCCTCACCGCTCTTTCTTCTTCACCAGTGTGCTGACAGCGATGATGACAATGACCCAGTTCAGTTCACGGGCCTGACAGGGGAGTTCAACCTTACTGCCCATCCTGAGGTTCCAGAAGCTGAGCTCAACAGGCTTGTCGATATCACAACATATGGAGAGCTGAACCTCATTGCTGAGCCCCAGAAGGTAAAGATTTGTGTTGTCACTGAGTGAATTGCTCCTTGGGAAGGTCTGGAGCAAAGCCTCACACCACCTTGGGTGGTTGGAAGTCCTGAGACAGCAGTTTCCCTGGTTTGCTGCTGCTGGATGCTTTGTACCCAGATGAACCCTTGTGTAAGAGGAGGGAATTAATCAAAGGTCTAGAAGTAAGAGAACATTCACTGTTGTTCCCAAGGAGAACCATGTTCTGATTGTTCCTGTGGTCCTGATGGAGGACAGTGCTCCTGCTTCTGCTCAGGTGCTCTCAATTCACCCTCTACTTCTGCTCCTCAGATCAACAAGATAGCAATTCAGTATGCAAAGACAGCCAAGAAAATGGACATGAAGACATTGAAGAAGAGCATGTGGAACCTCTTGACTGATGGAAGGGGGAAAGAAACAGCAGCAGCAGAGGTGAGTGCAGGAGGCACCAGATCCCTGAATAGCTCTGATGGCAAGAGAATGCCCTGCAGGTAACTAAGCCTAACTCCTGCAGAGACAGTCCTGGGCAGGTTGAGCAGCGATTCCTTTCTAGCAGCCTTGCTCCTATGGGATGGCCAAGAAGGAGAGACAAGAGTGTAACTGGGAGTGGTTTCTCTCTGAACACAAGGTGAATACTGGCAAGCAAAGTCTGTCTCAGCAGTGTCTGTCTTTTTGCTAAATAGATGAAGGATGCAGAGAAAGAGGAGGATGCCTCAACAATAGTAGAAGAGAAGGTCTTCAGCAGCATCACAAAGGATCTGTTTCACAGGTAGAGGCCCTAAGAAAGTCTGGGCTTAAGATCAGGGGTAGACTTCAGCTGAGCTCAGGCAAACACCAACCCCTCTGTGTCTGTTACAACCGACCTGAACCCTGGGGCTGCCTGGGGGAGCTCTTGGCTTGCATTCAGCTGGGGGAATTGTTGCTTAGTGGGAGGGGAAAGGTAGAGAAGAACCAGATCACTGGGGAGGAGCTGATCTCTGGTGACCTGGTCCTTGCAGGCACGCTCCATCCATCAGGTTGCAGTAGGCTCTGGCCATCCTAACCTTCTCCTTGTCTTCTGTAGGCTGCCTTCCAGGATGGCTAAAAACCTGTCTGTCCCCTTAGCCTTCGCCTGCCTCTTGCATCTAGCAAATGAGAAGGTAAGTGCAGTGTGGACACAGGATATGTAGGAGAAGAGCCATTTTCTTCCTACATCAGGACTTCTCCAGTCCTGGTTTCATGCTCATAGTGAGCATAAATCAGGCTGATAGCTGTGATTAAGCACTTGTAGCATTTCCAGCCTAACTGCTGTCTGTCACTGCTTGCTGTTGGGTCTGGCAGCAGAGGGGAACACGTTGTTGTGAGCATTAAGAGCATTTCAGTCTCCGAGGGAAGCCTCAGCCTTGTGTGTGCTGATGGGGACAGAAGGGGCTGGGGTTGCTCTGAACCTTCATCACGTGGGTGTTTGCCAGAGTTTGGGGAAGAGTTTGGTTTTGGTGAACTTGGCTTTTCTTTTCTGTTCCTAGAATCTGAAGCTGGAGGGCACAGAGGACTTGTCTGAAGTCTTGGTGAAAAAAGACAACTGAGCCCTGTGTGCTCAGCTCCTCAGCTGGCTGGTGCTCTCTGGACTCTCATCAGTGGTAGGCTTTTCTCCTCCAGCACTGTTGCTGTGAAACCTCACTGGTCTCTGCGCTCCCAGAAGAGTTTAAATCAAGGATGTCCTACCTAAACTTAGGACCCATACAGAGCGATGGTTGCAGCTCTGCCATCTTCAATCCATCAGTTCTTTCCTGGGTCTGGGTAGTGAAGTTCCTCCATCTCACTGTGAACCGAAAGGCTCCTCTGTGTCACTCAACGTACATGGACCGTTACCAGGTCTCCACTTCCTCCTGTTCCTGTCCTGTTCATCCCAGAAAACGATTTACTTTTTATACTGAGCTTAAAGGTAATAAATAAATTGCTACAGACTTTGCAGATGGGCCTTTGAGGTGGGGAAGGAGGAATCTCCAAACCAGGGAAGGGATTAAAACAAGAGTGTTGGGGAGCAGCAGCAGTCAGGGAGCATCACCAGCCAGGACCCAACAACGTGAGCAGCACCAACCTGGAGATGGGGGCGAGCTTCAGCCAAGAGCTGAGATCACCCCACAAGCTCCTGGTGCTGAAGCAGGTCTGAGATCAAGCAGAGAAGCGAGTCTGAAGGGCAGGGTTGAGTCTGAGGCAATGCACAGCTTAGGCAGGGCCTGAAGCCCTGGAGCTGAGCTTTGATGGAGCTCCTGGGTCGTGATGTGGCTGGGCCCCTCATGAGGCTGATCAAAGCCATTAGGGCTTATTAGTGCCCTTGGGGCCCCAACGAGGTGGCTGGAGAAAGGCTCAGTGCACAATGCTGCCAGCTCTGCCTTTGAGGTATCCCAGGGCCTGAGGCTGAGGATGGGACCCCCATAGAACAGAATCACCATGGAATCCACCAGGCTGGAAAAGACCTTTGGAGATCATCAACCATCACTGCCAAGTCTACCACGAAACCATCCCTTGAGAGCTGGCCCATGAAGGGCAGGTTTTGGGGCACAGAACACACTGGTGGGACACCAGATGAGGGGGTTTAAGTAAAATAGTTACAAACAGGGACTTTTATTAATGAAGGGTGTATTTCCTGGAGCTCAGCTGAGGGGAGATCCACATGGGAAGTATCCACAGCTTCCACACCAGGGAGCTTCTGGGGTGATTCGCCCACACCCCAGCCCCTCCAGCAAAGCGAGGGTGGGCTTGGACCCACCAGCTCCTGATCCATACCACATCCTGCCCAGCACCCCAGGGCTGCTGTTCCCCCTGTTGCCTTGGAGGTCTTTAAGGCCCATGTCCCAGAAGAGCCGTGGGTCCTGCCTGCAGTGTCAGGAGGGGAGTTGGAAGCACTGAGTGATGCCGGTGCTGCTGTGAGCACTGTGCAGCTCCAGCAGCGAGTTCTGCAGCTCCTCCTCCAGCACCTGGAGAAGACAAGCAGCGCTGCCATGACCCATTCCCATCCCTGCCCTCCATCGGGAGCATCCCACGGAGGGGATGCTTCATGCTGCAGGAGCACTCACCTCCATGCGGGCCGCCAGCCGCTGCCTCCATGCACTGAGCTCCATGGCGTGCTCCTGGTCCAGCCGCCCCAGCTGCCGCCGCTCCTGCTCGGCCAGGAGATGCATCTTCTCGCTCTGGGAGAGGGAAGGTCAGGAAGGTCCTCAAGAAAAGGTACCGAGGGGGTAGGAAGCCCCCAGGGTGAACTTTCCCCCCGTGTACCTGCATCTGCTCCAGCTCTGCCAGGTTCTCAGCCTGCTGCTGCTGTAGCTGCTGCCACCTCTCCTCCTGCTGTGCCAGCTGAGGTAGGGGACAGCCCACATCACTCCCCATCCCCTAAAAGGCACCACTTGGAGCTTTTGGGCTGCTCTCCCCATACTTTGGGGAGCCTCATTGGCTCTAGAAGGTGCTTGTACCTGCTTGGCCCTCTCGCTCTGCTTGCCCCCAGGAGCCTCCTGCATCTTCAGGTTGTCCTTGAAGAGGGTCAGGCAGGTTTTGGTAGCCCAGCGCTGGCTTTTGAGCAGCTGAGCCTGCTCCTGAGCCTGCTCCTGTGCCTGCTGGCTACTGAGCTCGTCCAGCAGGAGCTGGTGGAAGCGGCTCATCCTCTCCATCTCCTGGGAAAGGGGTGGGAGGATGAGCCAGGAGAGGGATGGGGACCCCATGGGGCTGGTGGAGCAGCTCCCACCTCACCTTCTCGTGGCGCTTGCGGAGCTGCAGCCTCTGCACCGCGTGCTGCTCCTTCACCTGCTGCCTGAAGAGCTGGTACTTCTCCTGCAGGTGCCCTTGCTCCATGCTCCACACCACCGACTCGCGGGCTGATGGGCACAGCACCATCACCACCACCAGGAACCTCCCTAAGAGCCCACCATCCTCCTCCTCCCAGCCCAACCCACCTCTCCTGAGGCTGTGAATCCTGGTGCTGTACTCCCAGTCAATGGACATCATCTTCTTCTTGTGCTCCTGGACCACCCTCTGCAAGGCTGCGTTGAGCCCCTCCTGTTGCTGCTGCAGGAACCGCTGCTCATGGGGTGAGCAATGGAAAGCCTTGGCCCCAGCACCCAGGGGAGCCGGTCCCCATGCTCCAGGTGGCACAGACAGAGGAGCCAGCGCTGCCCCAGACCCTCACCTCTCTCCCATCACCCTTCAGCTCCTGCATCCTCCTCCCACAGCCCTTCTGGAGGGCCTTGAGGCGTTTGGCCTCCTCACGCAGCTTCACCGTGTACTTGAGCTCCTGGTGCTCCTTCAGCTGCCGGTGACGCCGCTCCAAGCTCTCCACCTCCCGGTCATAGAACTGCTTCTTGCTCTATAACCATGTGCAGATACGGTCAACGGGGCTGCAGGGACCACAGGAAGCAACCAACACCCCCCCAGACCTCAGTGTCTCCCACAGCAGGACCCCAGCCCGCGTCCATTCCTGACCACATCATGGCACAAGGGATGATGATGATGATGATGGTGATGATGGTGATGGACCCGTTACCATCATCTCCTGCTCGATGTGGCGGAACATCTGCTCCCGCTGGTGGTGGAACTTGTGCTCCAACCGGCTCTGAGCTCGCTGCTCCTCCTTCTGCAACACCCGCAGCTCACGGAGCTCCTGGCGCCTGAAGGTGTGGGGCGAGATGGGGCTGAGGGTGGCCCCAAAGGCACCTCTCTCTCTCCCGTGCAGGGAGCAGCTCAGCGCTGGTGAACAGCATGGAGAAGGACTATCTCCAACAAGAATGAAGATGGGATGCCCATTGCCTACGTGGTGGCCATACTCATAAGCTGCCTCTCCATAGAATGGGTTGGGTTGGGAAGGACCTTGGGATCACGCAGTTCCAACCCGCTGCCATGGGCAGGGATGCCTCACACTAGACCATGTCCAACCTGGCATCTCCCCATTCAGCCTCTCCTCCTCTCCTTGGGTGACACAAGGGCTTATGGGAGAAGATCTTCCCCTCTTCTTTCCTTAAGGTGCTGCTGGGCACACCAGATGTGGGGCCGGGCACACCAGATGTGGGGCCGGGCACACCAGATGTGGGGCCGGGCACACCAGATGTGGGGCTGGGCACACCAGATGTGGGGCTGGGCAATGCTTTGCCTCCTCATGGGTCCCTACTTCCCCGAGGACACAGGGAAGGGCTTGCTCATGGTCTCCTGCTGGAGTAGACCCTGACTATGGAGCCAGATGGGTTTCCAAGCATGGTGATGGAGCACTTGTGCTCTGCATGGAGCCCCTCAGACCCATCTCCTGCACCCTTTCCCCTTGGCCCCTGGTCCTCCTCGGGCAGGAACGGGTGGAAGATGCCTGCTGGCCCCTCCACCTCCACGTCACTCACCGAGCGGAGCGCATCATCCCATCCCTCATCCCGGCCTTGGTGGTCGCTGCGCTCACGTCCTCCCCGTCCACCCCAAACCTGGGGGGTTCCTTCACCATCCCTTGGAGAGAGGCAGGTTCCTGCATCTGGGAGCAATGGTTCTGAGCTCAGACAACCCAAAACCACCCAAAACCCCAACCTGGGGGCCCATGCAAAGGGGGTCACCTTCCCATGGCCGCCGGCAAGGTTCTCACCTCCTGGGCTTCTCCAGCCAAAGGGAAAGGCTTTGGTGCTGCAGGGAGGATGCTTGGACCTTGCCCATCTGCAGGGTGCTCCTCTCCATGCCTTGCTGTGAGGGATGGATCCACTTCCCACACTGCCTGTGCCTGGGAAGAGATCCAGCCCAGGGCAGCGTTGAACCTCACACTTTGTATGGCCTTTGGATGTCCACCAAGGGCCTCCTGGGGCTCTGGCGTTGCTCCCTGAGCCTCCAAACCACTCCTTTCCTCTCCAGGTCCAGCCTTTGATGGCCCTTCAGGAGCTGGAGCAATTTGCACCCCTTCTTCTCCAAGCTCTCCATCATTTTCCTCCTGTTCTTTCCAGTCATCCTCAACTCCTGGCTTGTCCCTGGGGCTGTTCCCCACTTTCTCTTCTGTTTCTTCTTCACCAGGCCCCAGGATCTCCATGGAGGAGGAATTCTGGGTCTCTTCCCTTGCAGGTCCCTGCCCTGCACACGCTGCAGAGGTTGGCTCCAGTTCTTCTTCCAGCATCCCTTCCCCAGCTCTGGCCTCCGCATCTCCCTCCGCTTTATGCTCTCCAGCCAAAGGCCCTTGGACAAGGTCCTCTTCCACCCCAGGCTGAGCATTGCCTGTGGCTTCCTCCTCCCTCCTCCCCACCTCCTGCTCACCCGGGTCCATGGGATCAGCGCTGCCCTTCAGGTCTTGCAGTGACCAAGAAACCCGGTACCGATGCTCTGCCGGCACCTCAGAGCTCTGGGGTTTGCTCCTCATGGTCCATGGTGCCGCCAGCTGCCCCACGGCCGAGGCTCTGCACCAGTGCCCACCCATGGGTGCAGGCAGGGCCAGCGAGGTGCAAGCAGGGTCTCTGCTTGATTCCTCTTCTGCATTGCTTTTGGGGATGGAAGTGGGGCTTGGGTGGCCTTCAAGACACCCCTCCATGGGCGTTTTGGCCACTGATGATGTGTCAGCACGTTGGGTTTCCTCCTGGGGCTCTGCCGTGGGTCCAACCTGCTCTGCCTTGAGTCCAACCTGCTCTGCCGTGGGTCCAACCTGCTCTGCCGTGGGTCCAGCCTGCTCTGCCGTGGGTCCAGCCTGCTCTGTCTTGAGTCCAACCTGCTCTGCCATGGGTCCATCCGGCTCTGCCGTGGGTCCAACCTGCTCTGCCTTGAGTCCAACCTGCTCTGCCTTGAGTCCAACCTGCTCTGCCGTGGGTCCATCCGGCTCTGCCTTGGGTCCAACCTGCTCTGCCTTGAGTCCAACCTGCTCTGCCTTGGGTCCAACCTGCTCTGCCATGGGTCCATCCGGCTCTGCCTTGGGTCCAACCTCCTCTGCCTTGGGTCCAACCTCCTCTGCCTTGGGTCCAACCTGCTCTGCCGTG